TTTTTAGAGTTGGGGGTCTCACTATGTTGCCCAGGCTGGTTAATCACCTTATCAAAAGGTCGCTTGACCATGCTTGTGATACTCTTCCAATACCACTGACCCCACCCCCCGTTTATTTTATTTTGAGACAGTGTCTCGCTCTGTTTGCCAGGCTGGAGTACAGTGGTGCCATCTTGGCCCACTGCAACCTCCACCTCAGGGGTTCAAGTGATTCTCCCGCCTCAACCTTTAGAATAGCTGGGAGTACAGGCACATGCCACCATGCCTGATTTTTGTATTTTTAGTAAAGACAGGGTTTTGCCATTTTGGGCAGGCTGGTCTCGAACTCCTGACCTTAGGTTATCTGCCCACCTTGGCCTCCCAGAGTGTTGGGATTACAGGCGTGAGCCACCATAGCTGGCCCAATACCCATTTTTAATCTTTACAACCTAGCCAGGCTGATAATTTTCCAAATTTTTAAGTCCTGCTTCCCTTTTGATTGTAAATTTCATCTTTAGGCCAGGTGAGGTGGCTCATGCCTGTAATCCTAGCACTTTGGGAGGCTGAGGTGGGTGGATCTCTCGGGCTCAGGAATTCAAGACTCGGCTGGGCAACATGGTGAAACCCTGTCTCTACAAAAAAAAAATACAAACAAAAAAAATTAGCCAGATGTGGTGGCTTGTGTCTGTAGTCTCACCTATTTGGGGGCCTGAGGCAAGAGGATTCCTTGAACCAGGAGGTGGAGGTTGCAGTAAGCCTAGATTGTGCTACTACACTCCAGCCTGCGTGAACGAGTGAGACCCTGCCTCAAAAAAGAAAAGCCTTTAATTCATTTCTCCCATTTTCTGCCTTCCAAAACAAGAAAAGTCAAATGTAGGTATATCTGTGTGTAGGATGATTACTTTAAAAAATAATAATTTAAACCATTGATTTCTGGTCATATCAGCACTCCCTTGCCACCTACTCCTGTTTTGGTAAAGTCCAGTCAGGTGATCTCTGTTAGGGAGCTTCCTTCCATCAAAGGTGTGTGTATCTGAAACCAGTGTTAATGCCGTGAAAATCACTACCTGAAATTTGGTTATTTTTGGGGACAAATTCTATTTCTTAATGATAAGGTGTTATTAAAAGGTGGGAAATTTATAAGATGGTTTTGTTGTCCTCTGACAACAGTTTAATATTCATCAATTTTTACCTGTATTTCATTATGCTTATGTGCAGTGAAACCTTGCTTTCAAGGAACGTAAAAATCTGTTAAGATAAGACAAGACATTGACCATAGACACTTGAATTCTTGGCATGTTCAATAATTGTTCTGTTGGCTTATATGAAAGGCAAAAAGAGAGAAAATTAGATTTGAAATTTATAAAAAATAAATGCCTTTGAAGTGAAAAGCATTTGAAATAAAAATGCTATATTAGAAAACAATTTGACTCTAGAATTGTATACTCTATTTTGGTGTAACCATTCTATTTTATTAGGAAATTGTGAAGAATAGATGCCTTAAGGGTTTTGAGTGGAATGGAGGAACCTCTCCCCTTATGGTTTTCTCTATCATCATCATCATCATCATCATCATCATCATCATCATGATGAAAATGACTACATTGTAAAAAAGTCATAAGATAAATGCCGAACATCTTTTTTTTGTTTTTGTTTTTGTTTTTGTTTTTTTTAAGAGGAGTTTCACCCTTGCTGCCCAGGCCGGAGTGCAATGGTGCGATCTTGGCTTACTGCAACCTCCGCCTCCCGGGTTCAAGCAATTCTCCTGCCTCAGCCTCCCAAGTAGCTGGGACTACAGGCGTGCACCACCATGCCCAGCTAATTTTGTATTCTTAATAGAGATGGGGTTTCTCCATGTTGGTCAGACTGGTCTGAAACTCCTGACCTAGTGATCTGCCTGCCCTGGCCTCTCAGAGTGCTGGGATTACAGGCGTGAGCCACCGCCTGGCCTTCTCTCTATTACACTCTCACACAACCAGATGTGTTGACAATCTTGTGTGGAGTTTTTTCCCTACACCAACAAATTCACCAATTATCTAGTTACCTCCTGGGTGTCCTGCAATTCAGTTATGACACTACCTGGAGTTAGCACAGGCCCCAGAGGTTAAGGGCTCAGTCACACAAGAATGCTCCACACTTCAGATACCAGTCACAATTAAGGGGTGTCCAGATTATCCATACTTCTATCCAACTTGCCTACAAATTAGGAGTTCCCATGACCCTTCCTCAGGTTTGATAATTTGCCAGGATGGCTCATAGAACTCAGGGAGGAAACACTTGCTTACTTGACTGTTTTATTACAAAGGATACAGATGAACAGTCAGATGAAAAGGTAGATAGAACAAGGATTTTTTTTCTCTGTGGAGTTGGGGTGTGCCACCCTCTTGGCTTATAAATGTGTTCACTGATCCATAAACTCCTTGAACCCCACTGTTCAGAGATTTTTATGGACACTATTTCGCAGGCAAGGGAAATTATTAACTCAGTCTGTAGCCCCTCTCTCCTCACTGGAAGATGGGTGGGTAGGGGTGAAACTTCCAAACTTGTAATCAGGGCTTGGTCTTTCTGGTGAACAGCTCCCATCTAGGCATCTCATCAGAACAAAAGAGTCACCTCTTTAGAACAAAAGATGCTCCTATCACCCTGGAAATCCCAAGGGATTTAAGAGGTCTGTGTTAGGAACTGAGGTCAAAGACCAAATATTTGAACAAAAGGTGCCCCCAGCACCTATTGCTTAGGTAACAAGTTTTTTTAGGAGCTCTGTGCTAGGCACTATAGATGAACACAAAAGAAATACATATTTATTTCACAATATCACAGACACATAAAATTATTTAGTCTTTATTATCATTTTCTATAATAGTTTATTATGGAAAATTTAAAACCTTGATAAAAGTAGAGAGGTTAGTGTCATCCCTGTCACCAAGCATCAACAGTGATTGATATTTTCCCAGTCTTATTTTGTCCTTCTATTTTAGTTTTATTTTGCTGAATTATATAAAATATATCCTGGGCATTAATTACCATGAGTTTGAATTATTTCATAGTAGTTTTTCAGTGGATTTACCTAGTCATTCTGTTATACATTGTCAACCTACAAGGAAGCAACTGAGGTAAAATTAATATAAATAGAGAGTCAGCTGGGCACAGTGGCCCTGTAATCCCAACACTTTGAGAGGATCATTTGAGGACAGGAGTTAGAGACCAGCCTGAGGAACATAACAAAATCTCGTCTCTACAAAACAAAAGAAAAGTAGAGAATTTATTTGGGCCAAACTTGAGAATTGCAACCCTCAAAGAGCATAGATTCAATTTGCCCTGAACATATCCTCTGATTAGCAGTAGTGGATTTTAAAATAGGGGGACAGGGAGTGAAAGTGTGTCAGGAATTCTCATTGGCTTACAGAAATAACATTAATTCGGCTATGCCTTGGTAAGCTGTAGGGTGTGGGTTACAGTTTCCAATGTGGCATTATTAGGTTAATTTATAGCTACTTGTGGCAGTAGCAGGCAGTTTCAAGAGATGAGTACATAGCTCAAAGTGGGGAGTAGGCCATGACTACTGTCTCATTTTAATTCCTCTCTGGGCCTAATACTAAAAGGGTTTGCATTCCTCAGATAATAAAAAGTTCTTTTTTTCCCCAGATATTTCACATTATTTCTAATTTTTCATTAAAATAATACCTTTAATATTTGTATATAAATCAACTTGATGAACTTTTTCTATATAAATATTTAGGTGCTTCTCATGATATTCTTCAGCCATATCCTGAAGTTATAATCACTAAAAGATATGAACCATTAAAATAAACTTTGTAATTATAAAAGCAGTATCTTTTCATTATGGATATTTTGGGAAATAAATTTAAAAGACAACAAAATTAAAATTACCTCAGATTATTTTCCAAAGAGACCCACATTTTTGTAGGTTGCTTCTTACTGGGGCTGAAGGGGGTTTCTCGTTAACTCTGCTCTGCCTGGAGAAGAGCAAGCCCACTTGCAGCCCAGTTTACCATTAAACTAGCAGATTAGAAAATAGCCGAATGCTAAGTACTTATCAGGAAGTAACGTCTAAGACACAGTGTTGGGTTGATTGCTCTAATAGTTCTACAGTCCTTCAATATCATCCTACCTTAAACTCAACTGTGAGTATTCCTGAATTCCATCCACTGGCTACTTCTGCAGAATTTCTTCCCCCTGAATTTTGAGTTAGTGTACGTCTGTCTGCTGATTTGTTTCAAAAGATGTGTTGTGAGAAACAGTCTTGAGAAAATTGTTTCTCTTTACCATCTGATGATTCACAGGAGAAATTGTTGTCCTTTTAGTAAGTTGAAGAAAGAAAACTTGATGAGGAAACTGGAAATGCAAGTGTTAGAAACTTAATCATATTGTGCTTGGGGGCTATTTGGTGATTCACATGAAATAAATTACTTAGGTGGGAAATATTTAGTCAGCTTGAGCACTGTTAACAGATTTCTAGATTCAAGCCAATTTTATTTGATCCTGCCTGTTATGAACTGTTAAATAAAAATAAGTGTCACAGAGATTTGAGACTTTACAACTTATTTAGGAACACAGAAGTGAAATCAATGTTTCATCCTCTGAAATACTTTTAAATACGTGAATTTTCCTTCTCTTTCAGTTCCAGGAATGGATGGAGGTGCTTTAACTGATACGAGTCTCACAGATTCCTATTTTAGCACAAGCTTTATTGGAGTCAATGGATTTGGAAGCCCTGTAGAAACGAAGTATCCCCTGATGCAGGTATCCTTAGTTTAAATTCATATATTGCACTAAACTATGAAGTTTATTCTAGCACCAGGGGACATATAGAGTCTTCATTTATTCCTATATTTGTTGGGTGAGAGGTGAAATTTTAGGAGGCAGTGAGATGGGTGAGATACAGGTAAACCGTCTCCCATAGGGCTGGAGTTAATGACAGCTTTTGTAGATGGGGGTTTGGTAGGGTTAGGGGCAAGAGTGATGGGAGTATGTAGAGGGTAGATAGAGACTAATTTCACTTGTACGTTTTGTATGTATGTTAGTTAAACTTACGTTTTGAGCAGTTTATACATGTATTATAAAAGTTAAGTTACAAAAGGATCTCCCTCCTGTTACTACTCATCACCTTTCCAGTTAATCTTCCTAGAGATAGCTGCCATTACTGGTTACACATTTCCTATGTATCCTCTCAGGAATATTCTTTGCATATAGAAGCATATTGCTAGCTTTATTTTGTTTAATGCTTAAAATGTTGAATTTAAAGTCATAGTACTTGGAGCATTTTACATTAAAAATGTCTTTGAATTTTTTTTAACCCCACTTTGTTCTTTTTGTTTATCATATGACTGCATGTAATACTCAGGACATTGGTGTATAGATTAGTTTTTGTTGATGAGTATTGAACAATTTTGTAGAATTGGAATAAAGTTGTAAGGCATTCTAGTGTTCTTAATTGGAAAACTGCCATAATAGTAAAGGCAATGTATTGGCCTTTCTAGTTTCTGTGATGTACTACTGGATGTTTTTTTCCGTTATTACAATAAGATATTTAAACACAAGACAAATTCGTCTTTACATTTCTCTGTCCCTCCTCTCTCTCTCTCTCTCTCTCTCTCTCTCTCTCGGTTTGTCTCTGTCTCTTTCTCTCTCTCTGTCTCTGTGTCTCTCTCTCTCTCTCTCTCTCCCCGTTTGTCTCTATCTCTTTCTCTCTCTCTCTGTCTGTCTCTCTCTCTCTCTCTGGAGACAGGGTCTTGCTGTGTCACTCAGGCTGTAGTGCAGTGGTGCGATCACGGCCCACTGCAGCTTCAACCTTCTAGGCATAAGCGATCCTCCTCTTGCCTTAGCCTCCTGAGTAGCTAGGACTGCAGGTGTGTGCCACTAAGCCTGGCTAATAAAAATAATTTTAGCAGAGATAAGGTCTCTTTGAGTTGCCCAGGTCAGTCTTGAACTCCTCGTCTCAAGTGATCCTCCTGCCATGGCTTCCCAAAAGACGTATTACAGGCTGGGATTACAGGCATGAGCCATCACTCCTGGCCTATTGTTTATATTTCTAGTTGGACTGATTTTAAGGTCTGTATGAAACCAATGCTTTTTTTGAATTATTTTAACTTTTTTTTATGTAAAAGCTGAGGTTTCATGTAGATATGCATGCTAAGAGTTGTTTACAAACAAACGTACAGTCATATACAGAAATGGTTATGTTTTGTGAATAATTTAACTAGTTTAATGTATAGTTATAACTTCTTTTGACTGCCTGTGAGCTAAAGTTTCAGATACTTCTTAATATATATTTTTGTATTAAAGTTACCTTTGAAACGTAGCCCTTTTCTCCTCTTTTAAAATTATGCAGACATTAAATAAGAAGTTGAGTGTACAGATTCAGGATTCTAGAATTAAAACCAGAGCTAGAAATTCCTAACTTACATTTTTTAAGCCATTGAGTTAGCTGTTATATATGAGACAAGGATTTGTAGGCATGGGATGAAGGGCCTTACGGGATGGAGAGACCATAGAGGCAATGGAGTGAGTCAATAAAGCATGGAACGCGTTTAGAGAACAGAAAATACCCTAATTTTATAAGCTTTATGAGGTGTATGAACAATAGTACAAATTGAGAAAGGATATTAGAGCATTTATTGGTTTTATTCATAGTCACCGTATACCCTCTTGGGTGGATATTGGAATTTATGTTTTACAGACAAGGAAACTTAGGTGTTTTGCCCAGGCTAATAAGTTATGCAAACACAATTCAAAATAGGTCTGTAGCTTTGGCTTTAAATACCTGGCTAGTGAGTAAAATTTTCATTTCATGTGTTGCATTCATGTGGTGGTTTTTGTAATCCAAGCAGTAATATGTATAGGAAGATTAGATTGTCAGTAATGTAAACAGTAGATTGGAGGGGAAGAAGCAAAGAGGGTCAGTCTTACTTGGTTGGATACTTTTATTTCTGTATTTCTCAATGATGTTATGTATACATTTTTTGTTTTTCAGAGAATGACTAATAGTAGCAGCTCCCCAAGCCTTCTAAATGACAGTGCCAAGCCATATGCAGGCCATGGTAAGACCTGGTCCATTTTGCTCATGTGTGTCTGTGTATGCATTTCTTACTTTAAAAGCAATATGCAACCATTGTAGATATTTTGAAAATTGTAAACATGTATAAAGAAGAAATTAAAAATTATTATCTTCCCACTCAAATCCAACTATTGAGATTCAGATTCCAGGCCAGGCGTGGTGGCTCACGCCTGTAATCCCAGCACTTTGGGAGGCTCAGGTGGGAGGATTGACTGAGCCAGGAGTTTAAAACCAACCTGGAAAAAACGACAACAACAAAAAACCCAACCTGGGCAATGTAACAAGACCATGTCTCTATTCTTAAAAAAAAAGAAAAGTGTATAAGTTATATAACATGCTATTAACATCTTGCTCTTTGCACTATTAGTTATTTAATGTTAAATTAATGTTAATTTTAGTGAAGGTGAGACTGAAAATCCAGGAAGAAGAAGGCAGAGAAATGAAGCAGTGGTCTATATGTACTACATTGTGAAGAGATTTAAGGTTCCTGTACCTAAAGGCATTTATATACTTTTTAGGATTTAGCAGAACATTTAATGAGATTAATAAATAAAAAATTAAAGCTCAGAAATGAATATTTCAATATATCTCATGCATGCCTTTTCAGAGACTCTTCTTATTTGTAAAGCGAGAAGTAATTAAGACATATAGTGTCATTTGTAACTTCTTTGTACAGAGTAGTGGAATTTTGAACCTACGAAATTTTTGGATTTCATGTTTATGTTTTGAAAAATGTAATATTTCCATCTTTAACAACTTAATAATTTAACTTTTTAGTAATAATATCAAACAACTGGTGATAGACTTTAAAATGTGGAATAGATAGTAAAGTAGATGGTTTTAAAGCCTTGCTGATGTGTCGAAATCCAAGACTGGATCTCTCAAGAGTATGAATATGGCTGACACTGCCCCCACCCTCCACTCTCCTTTTTTTCCTTCTCAAGATTTGGTCTCAAGATTACAAACCTTTATTTACTTTAGGTCGACTTACTTCCTTCATAAACATACTCACAATAGTATGGTTAACAGGTTTTTTTCTCTGATTTTTTTCTTTTTGGTCTAGTCAAATAGATCAAATCCACATAGCTTTTGAATACTTGAAAGCAAATTGGTTCGCTAGTTTGTGTTTTATTTGCTCAGAAAATATTTGAACATATCTGTGTGTTAGGTATTAAATATAATTATTGTGGCATTTGATTTTTTTACTATATAGCCATTGTCAAGTTAAACATTTATTAGATTTCTGGGTTACCTGAGTTTTATGTGTAGAAACTTATGTAACTTACCTTTCAGATCCTCTAACTTCACCTGCTTCATCCTTGTTTAATGACTTTGGTGCCCTCAACATCTCTCAGAGACGAAAGGTAGGTGAAATTGAAATTTGAATGAAACTAAATGGAATTTAGAAGTGATGTTGGCATTGTTACCTATGTAGTGTCAATGTTTTCATAAGTGGAGGGAGAGCTTTTTATGGGCTTTAGTGTTTTTCTTGCCTTTTGTTTATCCTTCATCTTTTTATATGTGGAAATTTCTTTGATCTGTGTACATGGAATAGAGATTTTGTGTGAAGGGATGAAATCCTACTGTTTATTTTTGTTCATTTTATTTATCTCAATATATTCTGTTTTTAAGAACATCTAATGTTATAGTTGCTGTTAATTGTAAGCATATTCATTATGTTTTAACTTTATTTTTGATGGCTTTATCTAAATTTCAAAGATTCTTGCCTAATTTACTCCTCATCACAAAGCAAACTTAAAATTTTCAACTTTTCATAATTGGCCCAGCAATTAAAAAAGTTGAAAATCACTTCACATTAGAAATTAATTTTATTTGGAATTGCGATTGATAGGCCAAGTATAGATTTTTGAAGTATTTTATAAGGACTGATGTTGTGACAGATTGAATAATTTGATGCCTTTGAGTCTTAATGAGAATCTTGTTAAGACTAATAACCATCTAGAGAAGATAGTCTTTTTTGATTAGGATCAGTAACAGCTAAAGATGTTCAGAGTTACTATAAAGCTATAACATTGTTTCCTAAGTAATGGAAGCAATACCCCAAATTTAATGAGTTTAATAAATATAAAATTAAAGCTCAGAAATGAAGATAAAATATTTCAATATATCATGAATATTAATTTTAAAATAACTTAAGAACTTAAGATACTTTTAAGAAGGATCTGATCAGCAGATAGTATAAAATGAAATTCAAGAAGACTGTGGTGGTGATGACTTAGCGGTGTATAGTTATCTCCAAACTCATTGAGTTGAATGCCCTAAATATGTATAACATTTTACATGTCAATCAGACCTCAATAAAGTGGTTAAAAAAATTGAGAAAGATTAGATTTTCTTAAGACAAAAAGAAAGTTATGAGGACAGATGTAAATTATATTAAAACCTCATGTATCTAATGTTATTTCCATTTTGAGACATGGATGAGAACAGGAAGGCAACTACAAAATGCTTTTTAGCAGCTAGAACGGATAGACTAAAATCTGTGGGTTTAATTTAATGGATTTTCTTATAGGCTCTTATCATGGATAAATTCACTCTTGGTTGACATACTTTTCATATAAACTGGAATACTTTGTTTCTAAATCCATACGTTGGAAGTGTAATAGAGTTGGATAGAAACAGGCCCAGGACAGTAGACAAAGCCTAACAATGTGGAAGCAAGCAGTAAAATGCTGAAAAGCAAATACAAGCTGGACAAGTTATCTGGAGCTCTTTACAGGAAAACATAGTCTTTAAAGTGTCTTAGGCACTTCCCCAATGACTTTTTCTCATTTTAAAAATAATAATCAGTTAACTTGGCTGGGCGAGTTGGCTCAGGCCTATAATTCCAGCACTTTGGGAGGCCAAGGCAGGAGAATTGCTTGAGCCCAGGAGTTTGAGACCAGCATGTATAACATACCAAGACCCCATCTCTCCTAAAAATAAAAAAATTAGTCGGGTGTGGTGGTACACATCTGTAGTCCCAGCTGCTTGATTGGTTGGGGTGGGAGAGCTGCTTGAGGCTGCAGTGAGCCAAGATCATGCCACTGTACTCCAGACTGGATGACAGAGTGAGACCCAAAAAGATAAAAATCAGTTAATAACTAGCATTGCTGATGTATGAGTAGAAAGTAAAACTAGAATAACAAATTAATATTTTAAAGTATTTCTAATATAAGAGGTTGGTGAGATATGTCTTAAAGTGGAAATATATGATTTAGAGTTCCTGACATTTACTTTTGAGAAAATAATAAAAATTATTAGAAATTTAGAAAGGGAAGATACAATACCTATTCTTTTTATAATTTATTTAAAAATAATAAAATGTGGGCCGGGCACGGTGGCTCAAGCCTGTAATCCCAGCACTTTGGGAGGCCGAGGTGGGTGGATCATGAGGTCAAGAGATCGAGACCATCCTGGTCAACATGGTGAA